TACTAATATCGATATATTTTTGTCAAATTTTTATGATATCGTCAAACATATATTTTATTCAAAAATAAAAACATCATCGCTTTCTCAAAATCACATAAATYCATATTATWAYATCGACTGAGATAAARAATAAAATGAAATATTAAAAACACGATGTATCTCGCTGCATTGCGCGAGTACGCTTTTAGTATATATATATATATATATATACACACATATATATGTATATAAATTAAAATTAATGTATATACACATATCAGGCCGGCGGGCCGATGATCACCGTCCCCGCCCCGTTAAAATCCCTGAATTTGTCCCCGATAAGATGTCCCCGAACCCAGCCCCAAAGTTTCGGTTTCGTTTTTTTTTGCTTGTAATTTTCTCGTTGAATTCCGTGAACGAAACAAAAAAATTCCAATTCGGTTAAGAATTTCATCCAACCAAACGCAATTAAAAGACATAGTCAAATTCCATTCCCTCAAAGTCAAATTCATTTGATGAATTCCAATTCCATCGAATTCCATTCTATGAACCAAACGTCTCCTTACATTTTATCCAAAGGATTTGGAATTAGAAAGATTTAGAATCTTTTGTTGTGTTCGGTTTATAAAATTTAGAATAAAATTGAATTCCGTTATTTATAAACAAATTATAAAATAACTAAAATTACCTTTTTATTAATCGATTATCATAAACTAACTTTTTCAACATATTTCAAGCATTATTACAAGTAAATCTTACAAAATCTCACAAAAAACCAACTATGGGATTAATAATCTCATGTTTGAAATTTTAACGAAATTTTCTGAGATTTCAAATCCAAACATTCCTTGAAACCATACATTGGGTTTGAATGAAATTCAATTCCAAAATCCAATAAAATCTCCCAAACTAAACGGGACGGAGTTCGAATGAAATTAAATTTCGTTCTTCATAAAAATAAATTACAAAAAAAAGTATACAAATAATTAAATTACAAAACATGTGTTTTTAACATAGTGTAAAAACATTATTCGAAACAAATTCTGCAAAACCCCATGAAATACCAACTACCCCATGGAATTTCTAAATGTCATGTTTGTGGGATTTCATTACAATCCTAAAAATTGAGATTTCGATTTCGAACTTTCTTTTAAAACCAAACGTGAGATTAGAATGAAATCCAATTCCACGATCATGAAATCCCGCAAACTGAACGACCCTTAAAAGGACCATCGGTCTCTAATCGATGAGGATTATGAATCATTTTGGGGGACCATTACCATTTTATAAGCGTCTCTTAATATATATATCAACACACATGATCCTATTAATTAGATTAATACGACAACCCGTTCAAATATCGTACATAATTTACAACATATAAACCCACTAAGAAAACAATAGCGTCAAGGGTAGGATGGTTTGCTTTTCGACATGAAATATCCTAATCGAATTAGAAGTAGATAATTAATTAGGACGATATAACGTCTAACAATTTATATTCATCATCCTCTACCCTTGAGAAAACTGGTGCACAACTCCTTCCAAGCCTCCCTGTTGGGTTCAACCTTCTCCACGTTAGCTCTGGCTTCCACGGCATACGACTCCTGCATGCATGCATGCAAACACACAACATGAACCCTTCTTTGTCGTATTAATTTTGACCACCATTTTTTAATAAATCAATAAGATGATATGATACAATTTGAACAGTTGTAACACACCTCGATAAGATTGCGTTGGAGAAGGCGATCGATGAGTTGTAGAAGAATATCATTGGTGTATTCGGGGTGCCCTTGAACACCCATGATGTGATCGCGATACCTGAACATCTCCACTCGAGTCTTTTCTGACCATGCCAACACCTCCGCCTCCAATGGGAGTTCGTGAACCTGTGTTACTTGTTTAGAAAACGAAGGTTTGTATATTAATTTGCAACAATCAATCATATGAAGATTTGGAATAATGTACCTCGTCACGATGACATTCAATCAAGGAAAGACTAGTTGGCATTTCCAAATTAGCGAAAATCGTTGTGGATGATGAGAAGTTGATGGTCCGGACCCCTATATCCCACCCTGAAACTGCACGGGCTACTTTACCCCCCAAGGCACGTGCAAGTATCTGATACGAGATGATTTAACATTTTATGTTAAAAACGATAAAATTGATAGATCTAATAGAAAAAGGTAAATCAAATCAAATTCTATGTCCATTGTAAACCAAAAAAAGTTAATAAAGGTTAAATAAAAAACAGACCAAGTTAATAAAATACATGGATAGAATGCGTTCTAAAATGACGCATATGACATCAATGTGGTGAAGGGGTCTAAACTTCGGGTGAATTATGTATCGTACTTACATGCATCAATATCATACTTCTTTTTAATACTATGATTTCGCTTAAAAAAGGTTCAAAATGGCAAAATGTTCTATAAAATAAAGTGGTGCCATGGAAATCATGAAACATAGGTGAGTGAGATAGATATTAGAAAAGGTTGAATAACACAATTTTCCCATCTATTTTATCTGGTAAGCGCTAAGCATGATATGTAATAATTTATCCGGTAAGCGCTAACCATGGTAAGAGTCGTCGTCATTACTTACCGGGTAAGACTCTCGGTCCTTGTCTTTGCTCTCACCGGGTAAGATTTTTGGTCTTTGTCATATTTATTCGGTAAAGTAATGTGACTTGGTAAGCGCTTACCCATGTAAACATTTGATAAACGGCCCCTTAGACTCATCCTAAAATAATGGATCCACAATTTTAATGTCCCCTAATGATATCACTCTTGATTCTCCCTTCAATTATTTTGTTGGTAGGTTAACATAAGATCCTTTATCTTTTCTTTCACGATGAAATAAAAAGACGACAAAATGTACAAGTCGAGTAGGATCGCATAACCTATCAAATCCAATGATAAGTTAAATGAATAACTATGAAAACATAAGTCATAATCCAAACGAGCAAGATTTGACTCAATTGACTCGGTGGATCACAACACCATTTCTCTTCAAATTTCCGTTTCTACCTTGACTTCCTAACGATTTTGATACCATCGACTATATAACATACAACAAATATTGTATATGACACATGAGTATGTACTAATAAGTAAATTCAATATGCAATATTTGACTCATTTTCGTTCTTAATAGAATCTTTCTTTGTAGACATGTCAGTTACCCGACTCGTTTTACAATTGAATGATCACATGAAATCTAAGTTTTATGTCATAAAAAAGTAGCATTTTTATAGATGGTGTCAGTCCATGATATGAACACCATTTCCTAACATTTTGCATCAAAGTGATTAGACGACACCTTTATATATGGGTATCAGACTCGTTTGGAATGGGACCATTCCCAAATATATAGTAGAGGACCCTGGTCTTTCCATCACAAGCACTCACCAATTGTATGTCAATATCTTATCTTGTCTCACACACACACATATATGTATGTATACATATATATATATATATATATATATATATACATTTATATGTATATTGTACAACTTCAAATTCAGAGATATAAAAAGGCATACAAATTTGTCGGTTTTACTCATTTGATGGAAGCATATATGAAATTTTTAGGGATAAGAACATCTTTTAATGAATTCTTCAACAAGAAGAAAAATAGAGATTTTGAGGATTTTTAACAAGTTATTTTGTTTCAACTAATTCTCTAAAATGAAGAAAGTATGAAAGAATGTCAAATTCTCCAAATTTGAAGAACTCTAAAAAATGATTACTATGAAGCATAAATGTTATTTTTTAATTATATACTCTTACCATATCTTAATAATCTATACTATATTATAAAGCATCTGACAAAAACTCTTAAAAACTATTTTTTATACATAAAGTACTGTTTATTGATGCACATTACTTAAAATTTAAGATTACAAGTAAATAATGCATAAGTACAATTTATTAAAACGTAATACTTGAATTTGTGTAACTAACTACAGGTAAACACAATCAAATATTGGATAAATATTTCATTTTAAGTATAAAAATCTAAAATATAATTAAGATAATCATTATCTTCTAACATAATACTTAATTATTATCTTTATAAAAATTATATTATTAATCTATACAAAAACTCTTAAAAATCATTTTTTATACATGAAATACTGTTTATTAATTAATATTACTTAAAATTCAAAATTACAAGTAAATAATGCATAAAAACTTCATACTTGAATTTGTATAACTAACTACATATAAACATAATAAAATATTGAATAAACATTTCATTTTAAATATAAAAAATCTAAAATATAATTAAGTTAATCATTATCTTCTAATAAATACTTAATTATTATCTTTATAAGAATTATACTATTAAAGATTTGAGTTTCGAGTCTCCATTTTGGAGTTGCAAAATCTCTTGGAGATGACTGTATATAGGTTTATAGAATATTTTTAGGCATTTTAATAAGTTTTTCAAACCACATTTGGGTTTTTAGAAAAGTTTTTAGGATATTTTTAAATAAATTACATTAGTTAATTTATTAACACTATTTAAAAAAGTGTCATATCAATTTATTTTAAAAGTATCATAAAAAACTTGTTGAAACACAAAAACGTGTTATAAACTTATTATAATATTTTAGATATGAAGCTTTATATTTTGATTCCATAAATTTGAGTTCTATAAAAGTATCACATTAGACATTCACAACGTCATATAAAGCCAATTTTATTTATGATCAATGTTCGAGTCTACGAGAGATGATAGAGAGATCGATTTTGCATGCTCCAACTCATATGAGCTTCAAACAAGTATAAATCAATATCGTATTCAATCCTTTCATTAATTATATTAAAGGTTTGATCACGAAAATGGAAAAACAGTTGGTTATGTTAGCAATCATGCATAATTGCATATAAAATCATCCAGAAAATTGCGTTGAGAAAGTTTCAAATACAACTGGATTTTGTTTTGGGGATGAATACGGACGCTTTTAGTTGAGATACTGAGTTGAAGATGGAGGTTCGATCAGAGTATGACGCTAATAATTGATTCCAATAAAGTGGATGAATGAATTAAAGTTAGTTACCTGGTGACCAAAGCAAATGCCGAGAATTTTTTTGTTCATGGAATCCAATTTGTTGAGCAGAGTGAGAAGCTGAGAGATCCAAGCATCATCGGCGTGAGCGTCGTTACAGCTACCGGTAATCACAAAACCGTCATAAAGCCCGATCTGTTGGTCGTCGGGAAACTGTCCAGCGGCGACACGAAATACGTCCCAAATCTCGCCTTCCTCCGCCAGCATTCTAAGGAATACACCAAAGTAACCTCCGTATTTCTTCTTCACGTACTCACTGTCCTCCGCACACAGAAGAACCGCGAATCTCATCATCCTAATCTCTAGATCTATGGCTTCACTAGATTTGAATTGGATTCCAGAGAGGGAGACGATTGATGGTGAGAATGAATCTGGTAGATTATGCCATCGCATAATTACATGAATATATAGAATGAGAGATGAGAAGAGAAGAGAAGAGAAGACGTGAAAGAACTCCTGGACTCTTACCTAATTTAATCATAAAATACTAAAGAATGGGTTAAAATGGAAAGGAAAAAAGGTTAGATAATCATGGGTGACAAAAAGAAAGGCATTTTTAAATATATTTTCATGATTATTTGTAATTACGTTTTAATTTTTTTGAGGTCTTGTTATATTTAAATTTTTTGATTACATTGCATAAATGAGATGATAGAGAATATATATCTATACTATATTATAAAACATTTGACAAAAACTCTTAAAAACCATTTTTTATACATAAAGTACTGTTTATTGATACATGTTACTTAAAATTAAAGATCATAAGTAAATTGTGCGTAAGTACAACTTATTAAAGTTTTATTTTGAATTTGTGTAACTAACTATAGATAAACATAATCAAATACGGGATAGATATCTGATTTTGAATATAAAAAAATATAAAATATAATTAAGATAATTATTAGTTACTAGAAGGGTACTCGTGCAATGCATCGAGACACATCTTGATTTCAGTGTTTCGTTTTATTCCTTTTTTATGTTCGTATAATACGGTTTTATGTGGTTTTGAGAAAACGATAATGTTTTTATTTTTGAATAAAATATAAATTTGAAAATATCATAATTTTAAAAAATATATATATATCGATATCGATATCAGTATCAAATTTATCTTTTTAAAAGTTCTTGTGTTTTGGTGTAATTTTCTTAATTTAATTTTTTAATTATAATTTAATTTAGGTTTAATGACAAAGAAATTTAATTTAGGTTTAATAATATAATTTTTTATAAAGATAATAACTAAGTATTCTGTTATAACTTAATGATTATCCTAATTATATTTTAAATTTTTTATATTTAATATGAGATGTTTATCCAATATTTAATTATGTTTATATCCAGTTAGTTACACGAATTCAAATATGAAGCTTTAATAAGTTATATTTATGCATAATTTACTTGTAATCTTAAATTTTAGGTAATATGCATCAATAAACAGTACTTTATGCATAAAAATGATTTTCAAGAGTTTTTGTCAAATGCTTTATAATATAGTATAGATAACAAAATACTTAATTATTATCTTTATAAAAATTATATTATTAAACGATAAATGAATTACTTCGTTATTAAATTTAAGTTAAATTATAAATAAAATATTGAATTAAAGAAATTACACAAAAAATAATTTTAAATAGTAAATTTGATACTATTATTGATATTTTTTTTCCAGATTTTTATGATATCTTTAAATTTATATTTTATTAAAAAAATAAAAACATTATCACTTTCTCAAAATCATTAAAAGTCGTATTATATCAATGAAGGTAAATAATAAAACGAAATATTAAAATTGAGATACATCTCCCTATATAATATATTATGCGAACACTTTTCTAGTATATTAAGAATAAAAATGGGCTAAACCTAAAACGATTAACAATCTGAAAGTAAACCTAAACCATTAGTGATTTGAACCTAAAATCAAATAAGTAATGGTTTGAACCTAAATAATTTCGGCTATAGTTTTACACATGTCGATAAAAAGACCCACATGTAAATTTTGGCCCCAAAATTTCGGGGGCCCTGTTCAAAATCTCACATTTAACATGCTAAGGGACGACCCTGAATTTATCTATTTTTAAGGGATTAAATGAAGAAATATAAATGGTTTCATAATTACTGTTACTAGTTCCGTTTCAATCGCTTGATAAAAAAACTAAGTTAAAATTAATTATATAAAAAATTTGCTTGTTTTTCAGTTTTACTATTAAGATATGTCTTAATCAAGTTGTATGCCTATACTAATTAAGGCGTGTTAAACAAACCGTCTCAAAGATTTAAATTACCGTTTTACCCTCATGTACACACTTGGAGGTTACCATTGATGGTGGGATGTATGCAAATCTAACCACGACTGTAAGGAATAGATAGACAGTCTCCGGGAAAAGCTTTGCCGTTTGAAAAAGTGTATTTGAGAAAAAAATATTTCACCTGTGAAAACTTCGTATGGGTGTCATAAGATTTTAAAAGAGTCAAAACGAATCACCCAATTTATCATTTACATCATATATGATTTTAATTCTTCGGTGTAAAATAGACTATCGTCAAATTTAACCATCAAATAATATTTAACTAAACAATATAGTCAATTCAACAAAAAAGTGATTGACCATGCCAAAACTATATAATGGAGCATAGTATTGGTTGTGTTCTATATCATATCCATACTATATTATAAAATATTTGACAAAAACTCTTAAAACTCATTTTTTATGCATGAAATACTGTTTATTGATGCACATCACTTGAAATTCAAGATTACAAGTAAATTGTGCTTAAGTACAATCTATTAAAGTTTCATGTTTGAATTCGTGTAAACATAATCAAATAAATGATAGACAACTCATTTTAAATACAAAAATCTAAAATATAATTAGGATAATCATTGAGTTCGAACAAAATATTTAATTATTATCTTTATAAAAAGTTATATTATTAAACCAAAAACAAATTTTTTTTAAAAAATATACAAAAAAAAAGATTTTTTAAATAGTTAGCTTAATACTAATATCAACATTTTTTTTTTCAATTTTTTATGATATTTTCATATTTATATTTTATTTAAAAAATAAGAACATTATCGTTTTCTGAAAAACACATAAAATCGTATTATAACATCGAATAAGACATGAAAAAACAAAACATTAAAATCGAGATGTATCTCGCCGCATTATACGGGTACCCTTCTAGTATGTGTGTATATATATATATATATATATATATATTGTAAAACAACCATCCTGTTAATGGTATATATAAATTAATTGTTTATATAAATTAACTTTTTAAGAGGGTTGACCAAAATGAATCAATTTCATGACTTTAAAGCGTTACTTAAAATGAACCAATAATATGAGTTAGAGAATCAGTTAAAGGGAGTCAATCATATGAGTTGCCATAAAAACATCTCAATCTCTTTTCATATACTTATCATTAATTGTCAATCTTTCATCTCTACATCTATGTGGGATGAATAAAATTCAACCACAAATTAAGGAATAAAGATTACTCAGTTATTTGGGTGTGACATCAATTTTGTGGTTTTTTATTTTACATTTTAATTTGTTTCCAATTGTGTTCTGTATGATACTTTAACTGTATGTTTTGCACTATAATTTTATCATATGGTTGGTTTTCATTCCAACTATGTTTATAAATTTCAAACATTCATCACTTATTTATATATCCTTCATATTCTTCCAAACCATCATCTCTCGTCCAATGGGGATGATGAAACTCAACCTTATGGTAAAGAATAATTTTGATAAAAAGTTACAAGATTTAACAAAAAAGGATATTGCACAGTGGGAAAGAAGTTTTGGTTAGAATAATTGTTGTAATTAAATGTCCAGCAAAGAATAATATAGCTTTTTGTGGGAGGAATGAAAAACCTTATGAAGAGTCTAATGGTAACTTTTTAGGCTCAATTGAAATGATTGTTGATTTTGATCATGTTATGAAACAATATTTTCGGCGCATTAAAGAAAAAAAAAACTCATTCATTATCTTAGCCACAAAAGTCAAAATGATTGATTGACATGTTGTCATATGATGTTAAGAGTGCAATCGTTAAAAAGATCAAAGAGACAAAATATTTTTCAGTTATTCTTGATTGTACTCTGGATGACTTATTCTTGATTGTACTCTGGATGCAAGTCATCAAGAACAAATGACTTTAATTATAAGATGTGTTGATGTATCCAGCTCTTCTATACAAGTAGAAGAGTTCTTTTTAGAGTTTTTAATGGTAGAAGATACATATGGTTTAGGACTTTTTAATGTATTACATAATGTTTTGAAATCACTTGATTTGGATATCAATTGTGTATAGGGACAAGGGTATGACAATGGCTCTAATATGAAAGGGAAACATCAAGGTGTGCAAAAAAGAGTACTTGATATAAATCGTAGAGCCTTTTATATGTCATGTGGTTGTCATAGTTTTAATTTAGTTTTATGTGATATGGCAAATTCTTGTCACAAAGCAAAAACCTTTTTTAGTACTTGTCAAGCCATATATAATGTTTTTTTTCTAATTTTACAAAGAGATGGACTGTTTTATTATAATATATTGATGATTTGACTTTGAAATCTTTATCTGCCACTCGACGGAAAAGTCATATTTAAAGTGTTAAAGCTATCAAAACTTAAGTTGGCCAAATTAGAGATGTTTTAATACAGTTGCCTCAAGTAAGTGAGGATGGGAGAGTGTGTAGGGAAACCGAGTCTTTGGTTAATGGTGAGCATTCAAGTTTTGAGTTTATTGTAAGTTTGGTTATTTGGCATGAAATTCTAAAGAGATTAGTTGAAAATTTTGAAAAATTTAAAGAAAATGGGTTTACATGTGCTATTAGTGAAGCTAAAGAGATTGCAAATAATAATGGAGTTGAACCTGAGTTTGCTGCAAAACGTTTTTCTCCAGGAAAAAACAGTTTGATGAAATTCCAAATACGGAGAGAGAATAACAATCCGCTCAAGGGATATTTAGAACCGATTATTTTCTTGTTTTATTTGATATGACTCTTTTGCAATTACGAACTAGATTTGAACAATTGCAAGAATTTGAATCTATGTTTGACTTCTTGTTTGATTGATGAAATTTGGTTACTTTACATGATGACGAGTTAAAAAAATGTTGTTTGCATCTTGAACTAACTTTAACAAATGGTAATGATTGTCCGAGCTCTCTTATTGAATTGCTCATTCAATGAGCATTCTAAACCTATTTTTCGGTAAATCAATTACAAGTTTTTTTTCTAGAATGCCTAAGTAATGCAACTATGAATCTCAGATATTGATGGGGAATATTTTTCATGGAGCTA